GTGGGCCTCCCGCAGCCGTGGCGAAGCGTCAAGCGCTTCCCCAGCCACACGCTCTCCCGTCTTCGATTTCGTGGCTGCGATTGCCAGAGCAATCGTTGTATCCATATTACGTGTGTGTTTTACGACATTGGGTCACTGTGCCATTGGGTCAAACCAAGGAATAAGTATAAAACTTCAAGTTGCTAAACCGTGCATAGATACTTTTAACATTTGCCGTAGAATAACTTGAGCCTTTTTTGCAATATATCCTAATTTGCTATGTTAGTGAGCTGTTAAATTCTGTCCTTTGTTCCCCTATAATATCGTTTTCCGTCTTCGATAGCGTGGCTGCGATTACCAGAGCAATCGTTACATTCATACTACGTATGTGTTTTGCGACATTGGGTCACTCAGTCATTGGGTCATACTGGATAATAAATATAAAAACTCAGGTAACAAGTAATAAATATAAAATAAATAAATACTTCAGGTAATAAATAAATAATGTAATAAATACTAAATTATAGATAAATAATTACTTCAGGTAACAGGTAATAAATATAAAACTTCAAGTCCCTAAAGCCGTATATAGGTAATTTTAACATCAGCTTTGGAATAACATGAACCTTTTCTGCAATATATCCTAATTTATTTAATTATTAAGCTGCTAAATTATGTCATTTGTTATTCTAATAGAGTTTCTTTGGTAACAGTGTATTTTGTTACCAACTATTGGTTGTTTCATCGCTGTTATCTAAATGAAGATTGTTAGGTTTATAATTTATTTATAACTGGAGCTCTCAGAACTGAGTATTTCGCTGGGCTACGGTACCAATTTCTGCTTTCTCAGTCAAGCTTAAATATTTGCATATATTTATCCTTGTCCATTCTTCATTTCTGCTTCAATTTTCTAAATAAAAACTTTTTTCATTCTGCCCAATCAGTATATTTCTACAAAATTAATAACATTCATTTTCTAGGTGAATACTATTTTTTCGTTTATGAAACCTCACTTGGATATTCTGTGACTTTTGTAACATGAATACCACCAAATTTTATCTCGTCTTTCGAAAATTGTGTGCTCAGGATTCCTCTTCATTTACCTTCCTTCCAGCTACGCCGGTTTAACCTGCTGGATTAACCTGCCGCAATAACTCTTCTGCTTAACCCTTCCAAATATCACACACAACTTCTTGAGCGTCGACGCTCCAACTTGCTAGTAACAAGTATTGAATAATGATTTAAAGTCCAATATTACACGACTGACAACAGGTACAACTATAGTTAAACTGCATTCGATGCCACGACATCATTCGACTAGCGACAGCTGAAGCCCAAATCATCATAAATCCGAACATAGCTATCAACCTCAAAACTACTGAATTTCTGAGGATTTAAAAATAATGTTCAAATCATTTTTAAAATTTTTATTTTTCGCATTGCATCCATTTTACCTAATTTTTGTACATATATGTCGATTGAAAATTCAGTTTAAACTTTGTGCAACTTGATAATAAATACTGTTATATTCAAACGACGTTCATTTATTAAAATATTTGGAAATCTATTTTTTATCTGCCAATCCCATTCCACTCATTGAGAAACTAGCAAGAAACAAAAACAAAACATTTAAATTTATTCATGAACAATATATTAAAATCAATTGATTATTTCCATATTGTAGAACCATGAATAATAATAACATAGATACATTTTATTTCATTGCCGTCTCCTTCGAACGAGACCGAAAGTTCGGCACAAAACTGACGCAACGTCAAATCTGTAATTGGACACGGTGATGCCTAGCCGAAAAGCTGACCTGTTATCGACACAAGAGTGAACGGATCATGCTTATAAAACTGAGATGTGTTCGTCTCGACTTCACTAACGTTCTCACTGTCATAGCATCGAAACCTCAGCATCCAAAGACCTATTCTAAATATCTTACATTCGATTCTAGTGAAAACGAGTAAAGTGAACATGAAGTATTCCGTCTCTATCGTGATGATGGCAGTTATATGTAAGTTTTTTGCTGTAGTTCATAGCATGCAAGAACAAGGAATTTGATGATAGGGCCTTATGGAAGACTTTAAACTTCATTAATTATCTGCACTAATGCAAGTGTTTGAATGCGAGTACATTCTAACTGTGTATCGGCAACTTATTTGAGGAGGCTTAATTAAATCTAAATACTCGTATGTCAGCAAAATTTTGCATCGATTGTTTGTGGTAGGAACCTCAATTATTTAATCAATCCAAGCAGCATATGAATGTCCAATTGAGTACAGGTAAAACCAATATTGAATAATAACTTAGAACTAAAATGTTCTAAATTATTATTATAAACTAACCAGCCTCGAATTTTGGGTGACAGAAACAAGTCCGCCACCGCCGTATGAATCAGATGCCCCGGCCTTTGACAGGTCTTTTTAGCTCATGTCTTAGCCTAACATCACATACTGCAAAAAATATAATAATTAATAATAACGCGTCTTTGCAGGCCACAACCTGGGCAACGTCCATGCTGTCGACAACCCTAGGGTGAGTAAATTCTGCTGTCTATATTTAACCATCGAATTTATGTCCAGATTAAAATAATTAACCCAATTTAATCCGTTAGTAACAACGGAGACTTTTTTCATTTCAATGATGCTTAGATACAGTATACCTTGCCTTAATGGAGAGTTCATTTTTAGTTCTAAATTATTAACTCATTAGCATTTTGAAATAGCAATCTACTAAGTTAAATAATTGCTCCATATTATGAACACGAACGAATAATATATGTTTTGCCGCCCGGAGTAACTATTTTCCGAGCATGGATTTTCCCTTGCGTTCTGCAAAGTATTAATGATTAGTATTATCATTTGCTATTTTTCTTAATGCATTCCGATTTATTTCAATTCAAACAAATCGTATCAGTGTTTATTTCCACACATTTTTAAATGTTTTTAATATTATTGGTCCTGATATAGAAGAAGTAATTTTATTATTTAGAAGAAAAATTACTATTCATAATGGTAGAAAATTTTTTATCTATCTACCGGACGAATTAAAAATCACTTTCTTCACACGTGTTTAGGGAAATTAAATTCTCGTCTATATACTTTTCACTAGAAATAATTTGAATTTGAATGTGATGTTGTAGGTTTTCATTTAGAGTAAAGTCTTATTATTAAGTGTTAAAAGTTCATCCAGTGTTAAGTTTGATATAGTAATTGAAATNCCACCGCCATAGCCGCCGCCACCACCGCCACCGAAGAAACCTCGCTTTACCTAGACAAATAAAGACATGGCAACATGACAGGCAGGTACGCTTGGCAGATTAGTAACCGGACTAACTAAAGGCGGTAATATGTCCGTTATTATATGGCGATAATTTAAATTTTAGTTAATAAATTATAAGGTTTTTATAACTATTTTACAAAAGTAACTTTCAACAAAAATTAACCAAAACGGTAAGGAATAAATACGCATATCGATAATAGATCGTTTGAACTAAAAACAAATGCCAGAAAATCTCAAGGTAGCAAAGTTTTCCAGAATTTGGAAAAATGAGGCTTCAAATAAATGAGTTACCTCACAAATCGTTGAGATAATTAAACAAACTTCACTTAATAAATCGTTGAAAACATGTAAGGGAAAATATTTTGACCTCTGAATTCGTTGGTATTGTGTGGCAAATTTTTGACCTCAGAAATCACAGAAATCATGCGACAAAATTTTAGCGGCAGAATAGTTTATGTGACAAATTTGTTATTTCAGAAATCGTTGAAAATAAGTGGGCAATTTTTGTTTCTTGAATTCCGTGTTTTGGTTCATTCATTCGCCATTAATTAAAAAAAGAAATGAAAGTCCAATTTTATACTGGCTAATCGATTCACATTGAATATTGGATTCATGCAAAGTTTTTCGTTCAAATTGTGGAAATTACAACAAAAGGTTTATATCATAAAAAAATTTACAAGAATTGCATGTACTAAGAATTATTTCTGCGTATATCTGTGGGAAAATTATTCATGATTTTGAATAATAAATGTTATGTGGAAGTTATCTAAAATGGAATCAAATTATTATTATAAGCTATGAAAAAGTATGACATGCAAAAAGATTATTGCAAGCCTTCAAGACTGTGTAAACTTACCCTGACAGCATCCTCAGGGGTTTCTGTAGCGTAGGCCAAGCCTGCATGGGAAGTAAAATCGTTATATTATTGATATGAACATTAATTATTGCGTAAGCTGTTCAATTTTAGCGGTATTTCAATTTTCGTCCATGTCGGGGCTTTTGTGAAAGACGGAGTTGAACTGTACGAATTGTTAAGCTACTTAGACAAGAAGCTACATCACTGTGAATACCAATTACTGAGTCAAAATAAAAAAAAAATATCTGGATTATATTACACGTGGCGTCCAATATTTCACCTGCAATTCTAACTGGTGCGACTAAAAGGAACTTTGTTAGTTGAATGAAGCTGTCAAAAATAATTATTAGGTCCAATCAAAGGATGTAAATGAATAATACTGTAAAAAATCTAATTAACATTAAACTTGGAATGCAATTGGACAATAAAAATTAGTTTCTCTCGGCATCGGGTGTGCGGACATGGGTTCTTCGTGACATCGAATGGCTTCATCGTAACATCGTGCATAGATAAAGATGCACGAAATTACTCTAATAAATTTTGTAATTGCAATTCGGCAATGTTACAACTTAATTTGCTACTTAGATACCACTTTACGGTAGAAATAAGACTGTGTCAAATGTCATCGTATTGATGTTATGTGGTGTAGGGCTCAGTTCTCACCAAGCAAGGCAGCCACAATGGCGAACTGAACAGA